GGTGATTGGATTGTAAGACTGTCCGGTAGTGAATGGAATGAAAATGGTGGTCAGGGGCGTGGTTCTGGGGGACTTAAAAGGAGGGGAGAGTCTCTCTCTGTTCTCTCTGCTTCCACCATCTTGCAGTGTGAGACCCCTGGGTCACTGTTGCCACCACAAGATGGACTTTGGACGTCCCAGCCTCGGAATCTGTGAACAATAAATACATTTTCATTTTCTTTATAAATCACCCAGTTCCGTCTGTTTTTGTTCTAAACAACAGAAATGGGCTAATACACCCAGTGATGTGTACACGTAAAATTCACCAGGGTTCGCGTGAATGTCCACGGCAGCACGACAGACAACAGCCAGAAGGTGGACACAGCCCAAGTGTCCCCAGGTGGACGGATGGACACACACAGCGAGGTCCACCCACACATGGGAACGTCACTCAGTCAGGGAAAGGAACGAGGCTCTGACACACGCTGCCACGTGGATGGACCTTGAACACGTCACGCTCAGTGACAGACGNGGGCCCTGAAAATATTTTTTGTTAATTGTAATAAAATACACATAACAAAATTCACCATCTTAACCATGTTTAGTGCACAGCTCGGTGGCATTAAGCACATTCACACTGTCATGCAGCCGTCACCACCGTCATCTCCAGAACTTTCTCATCTTCCCAACTGAAACTCTGTCCCCATTAAACACTCACCTCCCACCCCTCTCCCCCAGCCCCTGGCACCCCCCATTCTACCTTCTGTCTCTGTGGATCTGACGACTCTAGGGACCCTCTGTGAGTGAGATCACCCAGTATTTGTCCTTTGGTGTCTGGCGTCTGTCACTGAGCGCAATGTCCTCAAGGTCCATCCACGGGGTCGCGTGTGTCAGAGCCTTGTTCCTTTTCATGGCCGAGTGATGTCCCAGTGTGTGGATGGGCCACGCTGCGTGTGTCCCTTCATCCGTGATGGACAGTCGCTCCACCTCTGGGCTGTCGTGATTACGCTGCTGGGAACTCGGGTGTGCAAATCTCTGGGACCCTGTCTTCAGTTCTGCTGGGTACATACCCAGCTTTGGGTTTGCTGGATCCTACAGTAACTCTATGGTTATTTTATTTTATTTTATTGTGCTTTGTATGTACAAATTGTTACCCTTGGGGCATGACTTTCAAGTAACAAGACTGAACGCTTCACAGTCACAGCACATTAAAAATACATTACCAGAGGGATAACGGTCCCACATATGAAAAACGTCTGTAGGACGCAGGCTGGGATTTATCACAAAGCATAATCGTACAGTAAACTCCAAGGAAGGGCAACTGATTAAAAAAAATACATTTTTAAATTTAATGGATCAGACCAAAGTCTCAGTTACTTTCTGGAGAATTC